GGGGGGGGCTTCAACTCGCCCAGGGCATCAAAATGTCTAGAGCCAGCACTGCAGCACAGAACTCAGGCTCTCAAGGTTTGACCTGAGCTTGGACTGAGATTTCGAGCCGCTGAACACTGTTGACAAAAGTTGCTTTCGGCCGTCCTAAAAGCTGCTAAATAACGTCATCGTTCAGTTTGCATATTTGGGCTTTTGCCAACAATTGTGATCAGGGATGTATGATATTTAATGAAGGAGAAACAGTGTGTAAAATCACTCTGTTGGGGGGTCTGGGGGTCCTCCCCCAGAAAAATTTGAATGCAATAAATGCCATTTCCTGCATTCGGGTGCATTTTACCAGGTTCTCAAACATACTATTACATACATAAATAAACACTTGATTTAATTATTATTTCAGAGACAGATTCTTCATTAATCTAGTCCTATCATTTTGTTTTAAACTCACTGCTACAGCTGAGATAAGTTTAATTAATGTGACACAATTGAACATATCCAGTGATTTTAGGGGTGCCTTTCACTTTCATATTGCTTATTCTTGATTTATTTTAAATTGTAACATGTCATTGTGCCAAATGACCATTAACTGCATGTTTAAAACTAATAATAACTTTACCCAGTGAACAGGTGCAATACTGATAACCAGCAACAGTGAATTTAGAGGGGCATTTCACTTTTTATGATTTAGTGATAGGTTTACTCATAACCAAAATGAACAGGGCATCATGCAGCTTTCAGAACATAAAATGACACTGTATTATGGTGACAAAAAATAAAATGAAATAAAACAAAAAACATTTGTTTGTTTTGTCAATCTGCACGTAATTATTAAAAGCAAAAATAGGTCTACAGGTTCCTTCCAACCCTGGTACCACCTAAATTTCTACCACTTCCTATTAAAGTGAAAATTTTAATAAGCCCATAATTTTTATACTATTCAAAATTTTATTAAATTCTGTTTAATTATGCTGTAGATTATGCCTTTAAATCAGTCATAAACTTCACACACCTGTCTAGAATGGTTTCAAAATAAATACTGATTTGAGTAAACATTTTAGATTTCATTCATAATTTCCCAGCAGCACCTTCATCATCATCATCATCACTCACCTGAGCCAGAGAGCCCTGTCTCTACCTGCTGATGACCCTGACTGATCAGCTCCTGCATCACCTGAAGATGGATTAAACATTAAATTGTTTTATTGCGAACTGAAGTCAGTCAGCTTTAAAGAGTCAGAAAATATCATGAAATGTGATCAATAAATAACAGATCTGATCTGGTTTCATCAGTGATTGTGAGTCAACATTCTCATCATCTGATTATTAAAAATTTAAATTGTAAGACATGAACCAAGCTCTTTTATGCTGAAACTATTCTAAGATAATAATAATAAAAAAATCTCACAATACGTTAGAATGCAGTCATTTTATACTAAAAAAACACTCAATAATCTTCTGATTTGATTATTTTATTCCTACTGATAATATCTGATCAGTCTGTACTTTAACAGATGCTTTAAATTAGATTAATTGGTGGTGACTAGCTAGCTGTAGCCAGTAGCCAACAGCATTAACTTTATACAGTCTAAATCTGTCCTGCGGAGAGATTAACTTACTTTCTGTTTCTCTGTTTCCCCCACTTTTAAGTGATTTTATAAGTTTGTTTGCTTGTTTGTTTTTGTGTGGGTATTGAGGCCTCAACTTTTTTAAAATGCATTTTTGAGTTTTTTAAGTTTTTTTTTACAAATAAATTATTTGAAGTGTAACTGGGTTTAATAATTATTTAAACAGTGGTGGTTTGTAAGTTGGATTTCAAGGACCTGTAGTACACCAATTGTGACATTTATTTTGGCGTTGTCGTTGGAAGGGTCCAGCACCACTGTTAAATAACGGAGGCTAACCCTGGTACCAGTACAGCCATTACAGCTCAGTTCACAATGCCTTGGTTTATGGGTGCTGCTTTTATTCCTAAATTTGGTGGGGATCCATCTAAATTTGTTGAATGGAGGGCTCAGCTGGAGGCCATGTTAAGAGCACAGGGCTTAAATGAACTGCAACAAGTTGACTTTTTACTAACAGCTCTACAAGGAGAGGCCAAGCGGGAAATGCAGCTGGTGCCCCCAGCAAACAGGAATACTGGAAAAAAAATTCTAGATTTTTTTCAAAATCTTTATTCTAAACCAACCACTAAAGCCCAGCTCAGAGCAAACTTTTTTAATTGTACACAGCAGCCAGATGAAATTATAAATGCTTATATTTTGAGGCTGAGAGAAATGTTTGGTAGATGGCATGAACATGGAGATGTGGCAGTGGATGAACAGGATGACATGATATTGGACCAGTTAATGGTGGGTCTAAGGAAAGGACCAGTGAAGCAGGAGCTGAACAGGCTGATGCGACGAAATAACTTTACTTTCACCATTGCCTGCAAGGAAGCATGGACATTAGAACAATAACTAGAAGAGGAAGGATTAGTAATTCCAGTTCAGCGAGTGAGAACTCATGTACCTTTATCTATATCAGATCCAGAACAACTGAAAGGACAGATACGGGCAGAGCTGAAAGAGGAATTAATGGGTGAAATGAAAAAGGAAATTTTAGAGCAACTGAAGACATTGTCTACAAATGTGGTAGAGGAAGTCAGAGCCCAACTCTCGGGCCAGACTAAGCCATCCACTGTGACATCTGCCTCTCCAGTTCGTCAGCATCGTCCAGCTCAGATGCCCTCTTATCAGTGGGATATGCAGGGATGGCCCATTTGTCGTCATTGTGGGGTGGTTGTACACATTCAACGTCGGTGCCCACACAAGTTTCCCCCACCTCAGGGTTTTTGATGCCCCCTACTGCCTATGAGGGTTTTGTCAAGTTGCCCTAGCAATCTCCAGTAGTCATTCCCCCATACTCTGAGATGGTCCTGTGGACGCATGTGACTGTAAGTCCAGTCAACCAGCTAAATGTTTGTGTGGAGCCTCTCCCTTATAGTGGCCTTGAGTGGTGTGTGGGTCGCACTCTAGCAACAGTTTGTGGAGGATGGGTGCCCTGTAGGGTGTGTAATTTAAACCCCTATCCGGTGGAAATCCCCCAGCACCAGCCTTTAGCCCAAGTGACTGAAATAGCCACAACAGACATTCAAGGAGAGCAGGAACTGGTTTTGGACAGTGTGGCACCAAATGTCATTGAAGTGACAGTGAAACGTGTTGGGGTGGGGCATGTGGCAGAGGAGGATTCTCATCCTGTTTTGTCTCTACAGGGGGATGGCCTGACCCCAGAGGAACAGGGGAATATGACTGACCTACTGCATAGGTGGAGAGGAGTGTTCTCATGTCATGATGAAGACTTTGGATGTACTGGTGCAGTCAAACATCAGATTCCAACCGGCACCACTCCACCTAGCTGTGAGAGGTACCGGCCCATTCCTCCAAGCCTGTGTGCTGAGTTACAAACCTTGCTGAAGAACATGTTGGACAGTGGTGTGGTGCATGAGAGCTCCAGTCCCTGGGCAGCACCTGTAGTATTAGTGCGAAAGAAGGATGGGAGCTGGAGGTTTTGTGTGGATTACCGGAAAATAAATGCACTTACCCACAAAGATGCTTATCCTCTCCCACGCATCGAGGAGTCATTGACCAGCTTAAAGGCTGCAAAATGGTATTCCACTCTGGACCTTGCCAGTGGCTATTGGCAAGTGGAGATAGATCCTGCGGATCTTGATAAGACAGCCTTGTTAAATTCTCCGATCTTGGCATATGCTGATTTTTCACAGCCATTCAGAGTGTACCCAGATGCTAGTTTTGATGGTTTAG